ATTATAAAATACAAGTATTGAATTTACTAATCATATTAAAAAAACTTTTTTAAAATAAAAAGAATATTGACTTTTGCTTTTGTATAAATTTCAATTTTTTATATGTTTTACTATGAAATTGATCATCGGGCGTTACTTTTGTTGGCTACTGTATGTACATACATACATATGTATCGGTGTAATGTGGTTAGATAGTATTAGAATTTTTTATAAAACGCGGGGGGTGCTTATTTTTGGAGATGATACCAAATGTTGGTGGTGCTTAATTTTGGGGGGGTGCTTAATTTCGGAACTATACGGTAAATATTGATAGTATTGATTAACTGTCGTAATCACTGATCAATTTAATTCTGCATTAGGGCGACCTTTTACAAACCCTAAATTTATGACGCAGTTATGATAGACATTTAACGTGAGGAAAATCATTTGACTATAAGTAGATTTATAATGAGAGATGAATTTTAACAGTAAAAGGAGATGGGTTTTAAGGTGGGGAGATGGGTTTGACGTGATCACTATATTAGTTTTATTCGATTTGGGGTCCATTTTAGTATGTGCGTCATGTGATTGACACGTAATCATCATTAATAATCACGATAATTCAATAGTAACTCGGGGTTTTTAATTTAGGCCCAATTCCAAAAAGTGGATAACGTAATCTAATCTAATTAATTACCGATAGATGTAATTAAGTGCTCCGATTTCGATCACATAATCTCACGCCCACAAGTATTTCTGTGTTTACATAAGTATTTCGTTTACCATTTTATTACTGCGGTCCTAATACGTACTTTATAAGTTAACTATTGGAGCTGATATTGTAAAAGCTCTCCCAACTATAGTAACTACTATTGTGCATGTGTTACGAAAAAAGCAACAGTTTAAAATTTTACTTTTAACTTATAAACTAATTAAATTTTATAAAATGTTAAAGAAAATTTTTTAATGTATTGTATACAGGCACTAATTTGCAAATCCTTGTATTATCAATGTTTACTGAAAAAAAGAAATCTCACTTAAGCTTAGGGTAGGTTGCAGCCTATACTAAATTTCACGAGGAATTTTTTTTAAAACCCAAAAAGTTGTTGTGCTTTGGACCAATTGGACAAATGTCCAATTGGTCCAAGTACACCACTGTACGTACGTACGTAAACAATTTATTAATTTATGTTACATGATATATACAAATAACGATAGAAATTTCCTTTTTCATATTGTACGCGGACCATAGTACCCGGGGCCACTGCGCAGACTGTGCAGGAATTTTTGAGAGACTGCGCAGTGTAATTTTTATAATTCAGGCCAGCTGGCATAATACTGGTCACTTTATGATGCAGGCTTGAATTAATTAATCCAGGATCAGCCCGAAAAAAAAAACAAAACACAGAGGATTTGTATCGCCTGATTAATCCATAATTCTGGTCAAACTTACAGATAATTTGACCACATTTAAAATTGGTTTGTTTTAGATCTGGCCAAATGATCAGCAGATTTGACCATGATTGGTCCTCTTCCGAGTCATGTGAAGAGATCCTTGATAAATTCTGATTATTTTTTAAAACTTTGAACGAAGCTTTCATGGCAATCACTTAATTAGATGAATTCAACAAGTTTATTTGATTTAGATAGAAAAAATTTCTCTGGTGGTTGTCGAGAAAACTTCACCGTGTATAGAGATGGTACGCCTAAATTTTTTGAAAGTTTTCTTGACAACTATGATTAATTATTGAGAAAAAATTTTTATTTGAATTCTACAGACTTATAGAATCCGAATAAAAAGGATTATTCGGATGGTTGGTGAGAAAATTTTGCTCAAAGATTTAAAAAAATTCAGCTATAAAGAAGTTCCGCTTAAATTTTTTAAAACTTCGAATTAAGTTTTCCCAACAACCACCTGATCAATTTCGATGAAAATTTTTTTGTTTGAATTTTACCAACTTGAATTTAAATAAAAAAATTTTCATAGAAATTTATCTGGTGGTTATCGCTTAAAGGTTTGAAAAAGGTTTGCCTAAATTTTTTAAACTTTGAACTAAGTTTCCTTGATAATAGCCTGATAAATTTTCATGAAACCTTTTTTTATTTGAATTATACCAACCAGTAGAATTCTACCAACTAGTAGAATTCGAATAAAATTTTTTTTATTGAAATTTATAAGGTGGTTGTCGAGAAAACTTCGCTAAAAGTTTTAAAAAACAGTCAAAAATTATTTGAAGGAGCTACAAGTGAAAAAAACGCAAAACTCGAAAACTGATATTTAAACTGACCTTGAAGCACTAATAAAAAATAATGGGAGCCTAACTTTATACATACGAAGTAGATGTAGTAAATATATAAGTAATCATGAACCCTAGATTCCTAGAGGGATCGGGGCTATGCAGGCTGTGCAGTCTGCGCAGTAAATAAAAATCTTCGACCTAACCCGGTGTGATGCAAAATTTTGCTTAACAAAAATTTAAAAACCACATAAATAGTATTTTAAAAAATTAGCACTATAGTCTGTGCAACAGAAGTCTGTTTCGATTTTTAACAGCTGCCCTTACCTTGTTTAGTGCGTCGAGTGTAACCCAGGTTTGCATAAGGAAAATTTCTTTCTGCATTGCAAATACAAAGTAAAATTTCCAATTATATAATATGATTGGAAATTTTACTTTGTATTCGTAATGCGGAAGAAGCCCTCCTTATGCAAACCTGGGTTACACTCGACGCATCCCTGATGCACTAAACGAGGTAGGACAGCTGTTAAAAGTCGAAAAGAATCTCCGCTGTACGGTAATTTCAACGGTAATTTAAAAAAGGAAACGCCTATTTCCACCATGAAATTTACTATTTCTGTCATTTATGTTTGCCATGTTTATGTAGCTGAAAATCATGCGAAAACATAGCGGAATTGGTAAATTTCATAATGAAAATAGACATTTTATCTTTATCAATATAAGTTTACAAAAAAAATTAAATTATAATAAAAATTCCAACCGTCATTGTTTTGGTTTGTAGCACACTATATTCAAGTCTTATGAAATATTAAAACCCAATCTATGGTCTAAATAATACATAAAGAAATCAAAAATTATAGTAAATCGCAGAATTCTATGTAAATCGGTTATAAACAATTCCATCATCGCAATCTTAACCGGTATGTACCACAATAGCAATCGAACTTCAAATGTTTTGTATTCCTGGGGAAATAAGGAAAAATACTCCAATTGGTGATTAAATTTAGTAAATGATACGCAAATATAATCGTAATGCTGAATTCGAAAAATGTCTATACAAGAGTCAAATCATAACTACTACAGCAACAACAGAAACCGTTAATGTTACACATATTAAAACTGATGAGGGATTATATCCATAACAATTGAATCCAATATAAATAATTTAATTTGTGATTGATCACGGGAGAGATTCACTCTGGATCGGGCACTGTCTCTGCTGTTTACTGCAGCTACTTTCATTTTTATACTTATTTCCAGATCTTGAGTTCGGACTGATCCGAAATCTTTATATTTCTCCTTTTGACATATATCTTTTCTTTTTCTTTTCTTTTTTTTTTTAAATGTTCTTATATATTAATGACTCTTTTAATCCATTGTCAAAAAAGTCCACGGGTAAAATAAAGAAAACGGCAAGAAAAAAATCTTGTGGTCAATAAATTAAACCTTATGAAATATGCTACTTTTAAATAAAAAAAATTGACGTGGAAGGGTAAGAAACATAACTGATGATTGGATAATGCCCGAATTGGGTGCCATCTGTCATTTCGATTATCAAACTTTTTCACACGAACTTTTGATTGTGAGAACAATTTTGGACAAATAAAGCAAATAAAGCCCCAAACTACAGTAACATATACCCCATACGTATAATCATCCGAAAATTATACGTAAACAAAATATTTTAAAAAAAATCATTCCAGTTTAAGGTTTCATAATTAATATTAATTTAAATCACTTGATTTAAATCATGCTCGAGTCATTGGTTACATATGAGTAGTTATCTTTGGACCCGGACTAATTTTTTAGATTATTAATTAATATAAAAAAAAACACAAATACAAATACATTTCCATCAGATATGATTAATCTCATCAAATTAGAGATGTGATCCGTGAATTACAGTAAATATAAATAAACTGTAGTTTACTCTAAAACTACAGTTTTAGATTAAACTACAGTTTATTTATATTAACTAATAGTTTACGGATCACATCTCTACATCAAATAGATGTGATCTGTCAACTTTATTGTATAATAAAATTTTATAAATCATCCGAATATTCCTAAATTTTAAATAGAAAAAAAATCCAGTATATAAATCGCAAGTGAATCATCGAACGTCCATTCAAATACAAAACTAGCATAACCATATCTAAGTCACTTTTACACTGTAGCGAGTAAGTACAGTGAACCAAATTTTTTACAGGAAATCACTATAGAAATCAAGAATTTTTTCAAGACTAGTTATTGTAATTAACAATCTATTCGGTCAATAGCAGATAAACAATCCAATTCGCCTTTCGAAAAAAAAATTACATTTTTTTGTATTTCGAAAAAATTACAATGTCTGGTAAACAGGAATCTATTTTATTTTCGGACCAAAAAGATGGTACAAATTGTCAGAGTGAAGGCAAAATTGTCATTCGGAAGACAAAGTATGTGAAAATCGCTTGCAATGAGTGCCGAAAAAAACGTTGTAAGTGCTCTGGAGGGCCACAGTGTAAAGAATGCACAAGCTCAGGCATTCCATGCGTCTTTGATGAGTCCCCAAAAAAACGTGGACCAAAGCGTAAATTACCTTTGGGTAATACCGATCTTGAAAGTAACGACCCTATGCACCATAAAGTAAGAATTCAAAGAAACATAACTATGGAGATTCTTATTCAAGCATTCGACGACCCAACAAAAGATTTAATGATCAAATTACAAGATCTGTTCAACATGCTGGTGGGTGCTGGTTTATATAACTTAGAAAGCCCAACTTCATCTAAAAATGAAGAGGGTGCTGCGTTGCCATTATATGTCAACGCATTTTATAACTTGCCCACTGGAAATTATGAGATTGACTCATTAGGTTCGCGAAATATTGAAATGTCAATCAAAGACATTGTTGACACTTTCACAAATAAGATAAAAGAGATTTTCACTAAATTGTTAGCTGCTTAATTATTATATCTTGAACCGACTTAAGTTTTTCGGATCTTAAATGGATTATACCGATATATGCATGTAATTTTACACAAATAAATAATTATTAATGATTATATGATATTTGTTACCTCAAAGATATCTTTTGTACCCTATAAACCGAGTTTCGAAATTTGTCGAAAAATTATTTGTTTACCCTTAGCCTCTTTTTCTTTCTTTTGATCATTGTTTCTTTTATCTTTTATTCTTTTATCTCTTTTTATTTTTTATCTCTTTTATTCTTTTATCTCTTTTTATTCTTTTATCTCTTTTTATTCTTTTATCTCTTTTATTCTTTTTCTCTTTTTATTTTTTGTCTTTTTTATTCTTTTATCTCTTTTTTATTCTTTTTCTCTTTTTATTTTTGTCTTTTTTAGTCGTTTATCTTTTTTTATTCATTTATCTTTTTACTCTCGTAAACAATTTGAAATATATTTTTATTATTTATTATATATTTTCACTATTTTTTAGATCTAAATATAGAAGTATTGTTTTGCTTTAGATTTAGCAATAAAGTTAAATAAATAAAAATTCGATTATATGAGAATGAGTACTAATATTTTGGCAATAATTTTTACTAAACTGTGTAATAATGAATAATTAAAAGAAAAATGATAAATTCTAAAAAAAACTATAAAAACATTTTTTTGGTTATAACAATCGAATACTCCATGTTTGCTTATTTCACGCAAAACGTGTCTCAAAAATCTTATTTTTGACAGAAATTTGAAAAAAGTTACTAGATGAAAATGCAATATTTTTTAAATTTCTATCAAAGCATCCTTTTTTAGTATCCTCTAACCTACCTATGAATAGCTCGGGGTTCTATTGATTTCACTTCTAAGTTATTGTAACATTTATATTTTTTCGTCATCCGTCAATAAATTAAAAAGATATTTAATTGTAAAGGAAAACGCTATTCTCAACATTATAGTATATCAATTTTAAAGCACGCTAGAATATTCAATAATGTATGATTTGTCCAATAAGAACTCTAAAAAATCAATTCTTCAAATAAAAATTTAAAGAAAGCAAATACTTAATAATTTCTGACCTTTTCAATAAGATTTAAAGAAAGATCAATTATATTATGATCTGTCCAAGTCAATTTTAAAGATAACGTAAACAAACCAATGCTTACACCGTCCAATGCTGATTTAAAAAGACCTAAGGCTGGGACTATGTCTAACGACCATATTAAAACGTGAAGACAAATCAATTTAATAAATAAAATAACCAGAACACTTTATATTTTATCAATATGAAGTGTTACAGAATAGTTAATTTTCAAACACATGCCAATAAACGAGTAAAAAAAAAGCATGGATTATAACACAAGATTCGTACAATAAAGTTGGTTTACGACTTTGTTATACTTCCGGAACGCCGGAATGGTATGTAAAATTTTACAAAAATGGTTTTTGTATTTGAAAAAATGGAATAAAACCAGTGAATGTTCAAATTGATAAATAAAATAATACAGAAAAAATAAATTAACTTGGTAATATTGCTAATTATTTTTAAATAAATGAATGTCGGCTAAAGCTGGAAACGGTTAAAACTGGATATTTTTTTAATATGAAATTGTCGGATGAATAGCCTTTTTTTTTATAATTAGGTTAAGATTTATGGTTAGTGAAAAGAGTATAAATGGATTTTGGTAGGTGCTACGATGCGTATGTGATATAGTACTCTGCAAAATAAAATCAAATTTTGAATTTGAATCAAATATTTGATTCAAATTCAAGATTCTGCGGAGTACTAATGTGATACACGCAATTACATCGAAAGACAAATGAACTTTACGCAATGAGATACATACGTACGCTGAGAAAGCGAAAAGGTACTGGTTCGATATATACTCTACTCACTATACCAATATTAACTAAACTACTCTAACCAGAACACTAAGACTACTTCGTTTGAGGCGTAGAGAAAGACTTGGTCCGAGTAACTAGGCTTAATTGGATAGGTAGAGATAGCGTTGGATGTGAATAAGTGCTCTATTATCTTCTTATTAAGTTTTTGCTTTCTTTAGCACCCTCGCTAATACAATAACCTTTTTTCGTATGTACTGCGGCTGAGTCTCGTGATCGAATTTGGCCAATCAAAATGTAGTAAATGTCACGGTATCAGGGTTCGGGTCAAAATTCCGACAGACAGAATCCCGACAGGTCATAATCCCGACAGGTCATAATCCCGACAGGTCATAATCCCGACAGCTAAAATCCCGACAGTCAAAAATCCCGACAGTTAAAAATTCCGATTAAAACTCTGATAAAAAATATTATAGACCATTGCAAACTCTATCTTAACCCTTATCTAAAGTGGCCTAACCCTAAAATTAATTAAATTATAAGAGTCGATCCCGCTTTAAACATATCCCATGCTTGGGATTTTTTACCTAAAAATTCTGGCTGTTGGGATTAATTGTCAGGATTTTCGACTGTCGGGATTTTTTTGTCGGGATTATGACCTGTCGGGATTTTGACCCGCACCCCGGTATTACAGGATCACCAATCATGTATAATAACGTTGATCACGTTGATCACGAACTCAAGATCGATTTTAACATATAAGAGCTTGTGTTACTGATATAATTGCTTTCTTTTACTAAATACGACAATACGACATTCGATAGTCACAGGGACAAGAAAATACGATAACGACGAACGATTTTCAACAAAAGGTACAACGGGTTAGAGACAAACACTTCTACTCTTATTTCTGTATTTCGAAGGCCTTTGAACTCCGAGAGTTACTTTGTTAGGGTACAAAAGGCATCGCTTTATACTTTTACATTATTACGGTACAAGTTGAACTTATTCAATAAAGCTACTAAGGATACTAATGCTACTAAGTGTACTAAGCGCGATAAGTTCACTAAGGGCAATAAGTACGATAAGTTCACTAAGGGCGATAGGTTGAACTTGGTGAATTATACAATTACAGTCATGATTTACTTTCGTTTTCTATTTTTGGGTAGGCTATTGACAAATACTAATTGGCTTTTTTTGTCGAGCTTTCTAAAACTATTCATGGCAAGAAGAAAACTAAACATAGAAGAGGGACAAATATATAATGATAATATAAAAAAAAATAAAATAGAATAACGATCAGAAAAAAAAGTAGTGGAACCGTCGCACCAGAGCCGTCACAACGTACATACGGTGCTGGAAATCTAGAAACCAAAATCACTTAATATAGGATGATAAAGACAACTAACTCTTTGAAGATAAGTTAAAATTAGTACTTTCAAAGAATGACTAAATTTAGCCATATGTATGTATGATAAATAGTCTGCTTTTAAGTACATTTGGTTTTGGTGCATTATTTCTATGCAAATAGCCTGAAGAATCAAAATTTATTGCATTTTACTGAGGCATATGACCTAGGAAATTATTTTCAATAAGTTACGTACTAGTTTATACAGATCTCTATATAAGGACATAGGAGTTTTTAGACTTTCCGCACCGTACGTAATTACTGTACAGTGCATAACCCCAATAAATTTGATAAGTCTATATGTATCATATTCTTTTTTGAGTCAAAATGTCAATTGCAAAACAACCAGAAAAAATCGACAAGCTATTAGATGTTAAATTATCTATAGTTGACCAATTGTATTTAGAAAATATGCCACAGGATTTTTTTAGTGAAATTATTAAAGAAATGTATAATCTGTATAATGAAGAAAGATTGAAGGGAAAAAGTTACGGTTCAATTCTTGACGTCTTAGAACAATTTCTAGTAGAAAAAAAGCAAAATCCAGATAATATTATTAAATATTGCTTAAACAATCAATTTGATTCTATGGCTCAAATCATTCTTGCACTTTGTTATAGTAATGGCAAGTGGGTTGAAAAAGATGAACATAAGGCATCCATTTATTATCAAAAATTTGCAGAAATGGGGGATACTGGTGGAATGAATGGTGCTGGAACTTGTTATCTACAAGGAATTGGAGTTGAAAAGGATGAACATAAGGCATTCATTTATCAAAAATCTGAAGAGATAGGGGACTTTAATGGAACAAGTAATGTTGGATACTGTTATCTTAATGGAATTGGAGTTGAAAAGGATGAACATAAGGCATTTATTTATTTTCAAAAATCTGCAGAGATGGGGAACGCTAGTGGAATATATAATGTTGGATCTTGTTATCTTAATGGAATTGGAGTTGAAGAGGATGAACATAAGGCATTCATTTATTATCAAAAATCAGCAGAGATGGGAGACAGCGGTGTAACATATAATGTTGGATATTGTTATTTAAATGGAATTGGAGTTATAAGGGATGAACAAAAGGCATTTATTTATTATCAAAAATCTGCTGATATGGGTGATTCTGATGGAATATTCAAAATTGGATATTGTTATCGAAATGGAATTGGAGTTAAAAAGGATGAACATAAGGCATTTATTTATTATCAAAAATCCGCAGAGATTGGAAATGGGAATAAATAATGTTGGATATTGTTATGAAAAAGGAATTGGAATTGAAAAGGATAAACAAAAGGCATTCATTTATTATCAAAAATTAGCGGAGATGGGAAACGCACGTGGAATATATAATGTTGGATGTTGTTATAGAAATGGAATTGGAGTTGAAAAGGATGAACAAAAGGCATTCATTAACACTTACTTTTTGCCGTTCGCTTTTACCATATGTGGTCATGCGGTGTAATGCTTCTACCGTTTGTTTTTCTGCCGTGTGACGATTA